AAATCAAGCTCCAACCTATCCGCGATGTTTTTTTGAGGTGTGCGGGGCAGGGTTCTTGGTGTCTTTTATGTCATTGGGTGTCCTGGGGTGACATTAAACTTTTGATTGACATAATACACAGAGCACGTGGGATTTACGTAAAACTCCAAATCGCGTTGCCGCTCGAACCGTCCGAATGACATAAAGAAAAATGAGAACTGCTCTGGGGAATCCGCCGGCGAGGACTTTCGGTTGTTCCGCTCGCCCGCCGGGTCTATTTTCTGGCGCCTGGCGGTCCCTGGAGATTGCCGCCTCGAAGTCGCTGACGCCCTGGAAGCGGGCGTGCGTTCGAGTGGGGTGGCGCGGGCCCATCCGTCTGCACGCCCCGATCAAATAGGTTCGCGTGCCAGCCCGCGCGCAGAGGCGGGCGCCCAATCGGAAATTGTGCGCCTATTATGTTTTATGTCGGCTTCTCGTTCCCTAATGAAGGCCCGAAGCGGCGGGGCTGCGTCATTCGTGGAGTTACGCGCGGCCTTGTCACGCATGAGATCAGACAAGATGTGCGTGTCGAGGGTCAGCCTACTGGTTATGATTGGTGTTCAATACTCCCTCTTGGAACAGGGGACATACGCATCAACTTCTATTGGACTGACACAGGCCCAGCATGGCTTGCGGGGGGGATCTGAGCGGGATAGCCCAAGCGGGCCAAAGACAGTCATCATCCAAGATGACTGTTGTCCTACCACTCCGCTTTTCGGGTTGCCGCCAGTTCCTGAATGCCCAAATCTTGAACCAGCGCGCCCGTCGGGCGCCCGACTTGAACAGTGCGAAGAGCAAGATGCGGACGTGGAAGCAGGTATTCAACCGAAGAAGACCCCTAAGGTAGTCGAAGATGGAAGCGACGACTGCGGCGAATGCCTCACGGGCCTCGATTTCAGCTCATCCTGCAATGTCGACGTATCCCCCGACGCCGACTCATATTCTGACGCTGAAGAGTCATATCTTCCTTGCGATATCTGCGGGGACGCTGACGGCGGATACGCATGCCGATATGTCTAGCATTGTCCCGACAACCTGTTTTGGGCATCACAATCGCGTCGATGTGCTGGAACTCTGCGGTGGCATCGGAGGCGCGACAGGTGTGCCATCTTATTTCAACGCCATGGTTGGCTGCGACACCTGGTGAAAACTTCATGAACAAGATTTGCCGCGCATCGCCTTTTGCGGCGCCGTTGCAACAACCCAGGATGATTAGCGCCGGCTTTGACTGCGGGAACTGCAGGCGGGCACTTGGGTTGACGAGATATTCTTGCGGTGCACATTGCGGGGGCGCAATCGCAGCTACAAGGCCACGATCGATGAGTTCGCTATGGGATTGCGGGTTTCACCCGGAACTTACATTTGGAAATATACTGCCCAAATTATGGGCCGCCGCCCCGACCTGTTAATGCTTTTCCTATGCGTTAATTGCATCGGCCGTTCTGTACATGCGCAGGCGTGCGACAGGACACTTGCTGCGGCGCAGCAGTGCGCGCGAGCCCTGCGATCGCTATTTGTCGATGCTGTACCTATTGGAATCGCCTGTCGATCCTCTTACCAAGCGGGGCCGCACTCCAGTCTATGCCATAAATAGCGGTTTTGACCTGGGCGCCGAAGACGTTCCCCGCGCGCCGACCAGCGCCGTCATTCGACGGCCGCTGGGCGGTCTTGGCTGCCCGGCGCGCGTGGGCAACGTCCGAGAGGATTTACCCCGGCATGCTCAGGGCCTGCGAAGCTGCCGATGGCTCGACGTTGACTCGACGCTCTGGGAGTGCGGCAGTTGCAAGAAGACGTAAAGGTCGAAAGAGGCAGGGCATCTGCTTATTCCTGGGCAGCGCAGGTTTGCAGTGCCATCCGAACTACCTGCCGACCTGCCTGGTGACCTGCCTCAACTACCGGCGGGGGCGACAGACCCGCCGGCGCCGCCAGAGGCGCCGCTGGCGCCGGCGCGCCCATCTAGCAGGCGGCCCGCGCTTGTGCGTCAGGGGCACCTGAGCAATCGACCGCGACCTAGCGTCGACGGCGCTGGAGCCACCGCGCGCCGCGCGGGGTCACGCGGACGGAGGAGCTGCGGAGATTTCCGACGATCATGTGCGCGTCGGTGGACGACGCGGACGCATGGCGCGCGGGGAACCGCCGCCGTCGGCGCCTGCGGCTGACGCTGCCGCGGAAATGCGCACGCCGAAGCTGCCCGACAGGACCCTTCGATGGCCAGATTCGCTTGCAGAGCCCTCGAAAAAATGAGCTGGCCCAACTTTCCCAGCGGGGTCTCGGTGCCGGCGCCGGCTTCCTCGCCCCTGGCAACATTGGGAAGCCGACGTCGTCGCCGTGGCCTCCGCTGGAGCGGCGGGCGAAGCGGGGCCTCTCGGCGACGTCGGAGGTTGGCCAGGGCCTTTGGGCCAGGGCTAAGAGGGCGCCGCGGAGTCGTCGGGTGCCGGCCTCGGGCCTGCAGGGCGTCAGGGATGCGACTCGGGGCGATCGGGGGGCGGGCGGGGGGGGGAGGCAAGGGGGGGGGGCGCGGGGCGCGGCGGTGGTGGAGTGGGGGGCTTCGGTCATGGAGGAAGCCGCGCCCTTCACTCTGGCTCCCTTGTCCCGAGAACGCCCGCCAACTTCGCCTTTAGTCTGCGCTTTTTGTCTCCTGCCCCCTCACCTGGGCGCTGCGCGATGTTTCCCTTCCCTCCCCTCGCAGCCCCGCCCCCCCGCGATTCCGGGGGCCCGGGCGGGCTCTTGCTGGCCCTTCTGTCCTCGGCGCCGGCGCCGGCGCCGGCGTCGCCTTTCTGTCCTCCCGGGAAGGGGCCCGAGTTGAGGCTTGCGCTGTCCAAGTTTGGCCTTGACGTTAACAGGCATAACCTCATCAGTGGCGCGTGGAACCCCTGTCGAGAATGCCGCGCGCGTCGCGGGCCGGGCAATTCAGCGATGCAGTCGGTCGCCCAGCCTAGAAGCTTCAACGAAGAATGCTAATGCGACCTCTTCTTCTACAAGGCGCATCTCGTGCTCCGTACGGCAGACCGTTGCGTCGGGTTCGCGGCTGGCATTGGCATTTCCGACAAACCCTTGAATTCTGTACTCGGCGCGCACCGCTAGATCTAGTTACAGCATGGCCCAGGCAAAGTCCCGCATTCGGATGGCGAGGGTGCTCTGGACAATTGCGCAGCCAACGACGTCCTCATGCATGCACGGCGCCGAATTACGGCTTCGAGCGCGCGGCCCGCATGTTCGGACTATAGATTCGAGAAACGGGATTCTCAGACGCACCATGCGCGCGTTGGAGGAAGACTAGAAACGACGCGACATGCCGCTAAATTTCTCTCGTCTCTTGCGCGAAGCTGTGCTTGTAGCGTGCGCCTTCGCCTTCTACAGCGGCGCGTCTCCGTGCCCATTCTATGTTGTTGACGGCTGGCATGCCTGCCGGATCTGCCGACGCTTTGATTGCGACCAAGAGGCAGAGACATCTGATCATTCACGAGAACAGCGGATGCGCGAAATCAGCTTGGAAATCATCACTGAAGCCGCCGCAGTCTCCAAAACAAATCGAGCACCGCGCGCCAAGACGACGCCGCCAGGGCCGCCAGGACAAGTGCTCCTACCGACCAACCACAGCGAAAGACGACTGGGGACGTTGGAGCGGCCCGTATCCAGTCACGCGTAATGACCCCGAACAGGGCCAAGTTTTCGCGCGTGTCGGCAATCGTGAAGTAGCCGTTCAGTATCCAGATGTACGCCACACGCCGTGCATCGATGTGCTGGTGGTTCGATAGCTTTGTTCTGACAACACAGCGCTTCGCATTGAATTTGCGTTCATCGCGAGCATGCCTGCGGGGAGACGTGCGATGACTCTTGCATACTTGCCGACCCAGCAAGGGGGCTTGCGATTGATCTCTGCCAGCAAGTTGTCCCCAGAGGTGCGCCCTGCTAGTCATTTCCTGATCCGCAATTATTTTCTGATCGAAAACGTGGTCGCGGCCCGACTTGCTAAGAGCGTGCGCCGGCTGTCAGTTGTCGCCAACGCCGTGCGCTCTAGTACATTACGACAACCGTTTGGCACCGGGGTTTGACCATTCCGAGGCACATGCTATTGCTTTGCACATTCACACAATCACAGGGCCTACCCATGCACGGGTGGTACACTGCTTGAAGCCAACCGAACTTATGGCTGGCTTCGACGAAGACGTCTCGAACTTCGAGGAGATTGCGGGCGGTCGTGTCCTAAGCCGAAGTGCTCAAGTGGCGGAGACGCTCACCGAATAGTTTTTTCAACCAACGGGGCGCCGACCCACGACCCAACAAGAAGCTGAGGCCGATCGAGAGGCCTGGTACGAATTGTACGAAAAAACGTGAGTTGCTTGAGACTGCGTCCCTAGAAGCACTGCGCACCAGACCGACGACCATGACTTTAAACGCGTCGTCTTTGGCGACGACCCAGTCACCCATCATCGCGGAGACGCGCACTACAACAATGAGGGCGTGTATTTCGTCTCCAGTACTCCGCACTGCGATGGTGCCTGTACGATCGGCAGTGACAACGGCCCGTACATGGAACTTCGCCTCGCCGCTTACATGGCCAAGGTTGTGTTTACCGAGCAACAACAACACCACTATACGCATATACCTGTCCGAACATGGCGGGGGACCTTGCATCGTGATTTATTTCGTGGCTCGAGAGGTTTGCTTCAATCGGGCCGGACGAAAGGGGGGGATTGGGAAAGGGGGGGGTCCGAAATTTGCTGAATGCAGCTGGTTTCGGCCTCGCCGAGGGGCCCACTCCTCGATACATAGTCGCCTCCGGCGCCGGGAGGCGCCAGGAAAATCAGCTACGTGAGCTGATTCTCAAACCCCCCCTTTGCTATCCCCCCTTTCGTCCGACCCAATTCAAGGATGTGCTCTGAAGGGTATCGTGAACTTTGGATCGTTTTTCCTCTGACCGTGGGCGCCCCGCTCTTCGCGCGCCTCGGCTCGCCCCGCCCCCCTTCACGGCGCTGGAGGCCGTGCTGCTGCTGGGCAAGGAGGCCAAGAAGGCGAAGGGAGCGAAGGGCACCAAGGACCGACGACGACGCGGACGAGGAGGATGAGGAGGAGGAGGAGGAGGAGGAGGAGGACGAGGACGAAGTGGAGGAGGCAGAGGGGGAGGAGGAGGAGGAGGAGGAGGCAGAGGAGGAGGAAGCTGACTGACTGACCGAACCTGCATCGATGCCGAGCTAGGTCTGATTCAACTCCAGTGCACCGCAGAGCCTGGATGTTATAAAGCCCACGCCTTCACAAGGATACAGGAACACCAGGGGGCCGTACACGCCTACGTAGGGGGACGCTGGGCCAAGACGGCCCTGGTCTATGTGCCGACGTGGCACCGGCAGGGCCGTCGCCGCACGGGGGTGCTGGAACTCTTTCTGCGGCCCTTGGTTCCCCTCAATAGAAATGTCTTACTGAGCGCTGCAAGTCTCTGCTCCCAGGCGAGGTCAAGGACGGGAGGGCCAGGAGGCGAAGGAGGCTGACGAGGAGGAGAGGGGAGGAAAACACGGTCCCTGCTAGACCTGCTGGGGTGCTTGCTCCCACTGTACTCACGCTGCTGCTCACTGCTCTGCTGCTCCCTCGCTTGCCGCCTCGGATGCTGTGGGCGAATCCGCCTACATGCGTTTTCCTGGGCAGCTTCGTCATTGTCGCCCTCATGCACAGGAGGAGGAGGAGGCTGCCGACCGCCATGTGTGTGAACGTGCTGCTGCAATCGATCTCCTCAGGGTGCGACTTTATCATATCGAGTTCGTTCTCCTGCACTACCGACTGACCCACTGGCCAGGACCCCTCCGTTGATAAGTTGATCCTGCGCAACGATTGAGCTCCTTGTTTCGTGAATTAGTCGCTCACCCTGCAGCTGTGAACAAAGTCATCCATCTCCGACGGCTTGCTCTCTTCTACGTGCTGCTTGTGCAGGCGCTTGAGACCTCGAAACAGCACCACGATATCCTCTGACGTGCCGTCTAGGCTGGTGGCCGCGAGAGACTCCACGAGGCCGGCGAACGCGTGCAGGTGCAGGCTGTCCAACTCGTGACCGCTTCCTTGTTTTTTACCTCGTCGTAGGTTGTCGTGGCCCGCTTCATGCCCATGACTACAGAGTGGCCCGCTGGGGACCTGAAGTGCACATCGTTCGCTTCTCTCTCTCTCTCACCCTGGCTTCCAGCTGCAAAACCAATTTCTTCTCCTGGCTGGCCGTGTCGGGTTGCTCTCTGCGACCTCTCTTGTTGTCGGCTTTCTCCACTGGCGGCTCGACGTCTTGCACTGCTTTCGGCCACTTCGACATCGAATGTGAGCGTGTGGACGAGGACAAGGACGAGGGAATCGAGGCGGAGGAGGAGGACGAGGACGAAGAGGAGCAGGACATCGAGGACGAAGAACAGGACGAGGGCGAAGCCGAAGACGACGACGACGTCGCAGAGGGTACCAAGCACTGGTCCGGCTCCTCGAAGTGGATCGGCGCAGTCGGGCAACGTTTTTTGTCTCCCTCGCTGCCTCTGCTCCTGCGCGCACAAGTCAGGCCAGTCTCAGAAGGCAAAGTAAGCGGCGGCCAAGAGGGGGGCGATGACAAGGGCGGGGTGTGCTCATCATGGCGGGGGCCATGATACCTCGCAGATCTCATGGCCTCCCTACTTCTTTCACTGCGTCTCCTGGCAATGCACCATGGGTTGCGACCCCCCCCTTTGGACGTCCACTTCTTGGACGCCCCCGACGAAGGCTCACCCAGAGCGCATGGAAAACCGTGCTATCCCAGTCTCAGTCTTCTTGAGATCGTCATCGGAGGTTGGGGGGTGAGATCGCAGTGAAACGGATGACCCCCCACCGGGAAATCGGTTTCGGTTTCGTGTTCGCGTCGTGCGTGCGGGCGAGGCCAAGCTGCGCGTGATCCTCCTGTAGCTAGGCCGAAGTAGGAGCGAAAGTCCGTTCCCGTCCGCCAGTGGCTGGGAGGTATCTCAGTTGGGCCGGGCGGTCTCCCGGGTGTCCTGGGTGTGAGTAGGAGCGAAAGTCCGTTTCCCGTCCGCCGGTGACCGGGAGGTGTCCCAGTTGGGCCGGGCGGTGTCCCGGGTGTCCCGGGTGTCCCGGACGTTCTGGCGCTAACGCATGTCGCTAATTTCATAAGGTTTTTTTTTCGGCGCCTGCGGCGGGCTTTCTTATCCAATCCAGCTTATTGTATCCAACCCAACTTGCCCAATCCAATCCATCTTATCTTATTCAACCCATCTTGTCCGATCTTATCGTATCCCACCCAATCCAATCCATCCAACACCATCCATCACTTCATTTGTTTCTGTGCCTGCGGCGGGCCAATCCAATCCATCTTATCTGATCCAATCCATCTCTTCCAATCCAACCCTTATATTATGCAATCCATCTTGTCCCATCCAATCCAATCCACCCAACCCAATCCATCATTTATTGTGGTGGAGGTGGAGACTGATAGAGAGGGAGAGAGAGAAAGAGAGAGAGAGAGAGCGAGAGAGAGAGACATACTACCTAGTATTCGATGGTTGTCTCGTGGTCGTCTTGTGATTGTCCTGATGGTTGTCTGGTGGTTGTGCCGATGGTTGTCCTGTGGTTGTCCGACAACACATCGTTGTTCGGCGCCTGCGGCGGGCTTTCCCAATTTGCTTTTGAGGTCAATAGTGAGATCGACAATGATATTCACCGATAGGTCGGTCGACGGATAGGTAGTGGGATCTCATCGTCATCGCGATCATCATTGTGGTGGAGGGAGATGCTGATAGAGAGGGAGAGAGAGAGAGAGAGAGAGAGCGAAAGAGAGAGAGAGAGAGAGACAGAGAGAGAGAGAGACAGAGAGGAAGCGATAGATGAGATCAAGGGGACAGGCTGGAGGTCAGTCAGGGTGGGCATTTGATCTCAATCCCCCCCAACCTCCTTATCGCCTTCAGGGCGGTCGTATAGGTATGTTGTGTGGTGCGGCCACGTGCGCCCTCCTCAGGGGAACGGCAAGGGGGGACTAGGTAGGCTCAGCGTCTCCATAGACGGTGTGGTTACCCGAGATCTTGGCCCAGGGGCCCCCAGAGAGTGTGGTGACGTGCGATCCTGGCCTCGCACTTGTATTGCAGTTGGCGATTTTGGTTCGTTCCGGGCCCAGGGGCACTCGCAGATCGACCCAGTTCGAAGATTTAAGCAGTCAGGTAGGTTTTGGCGCTCTGGTCGCGATTTTTTGCGACGTCATTTTTCAAACTGTCGGATCGCTCAGGGAGGGGGTGCGTTACGAAATGTTTTCGTCGGTTTCCGACTTTCTCCACCCTCGAGATGCTCTCCAGCAGCTGCGCTTTGCCTGGATCGTCCCGACCAGCCGTCGGAGAGTACGAGAAGCAGGAGGAGGAGGAGGAGTAGGAGGAGGAGGAGGATGAGGATGAGGAGGAGGTGGTGGTGGAGCATTCGCCATGAAGGATTCGCCAGCTGCCGTCCACGCGGCACAGATCACTGGACCCCAACATCACTGGTGAAAGTTGAGACCAACCCCGACGACTCTGGGCGTCCAGCGACCCGTTTCCTCAGTAGCGAAGGGTGTCCAAACCGGGAGCACCGCCACCCGTCCGCCCTTGTCGAAGGGCACCGCGACGATGGCCGACACTTAGAAAGCTCGCCAGTGGATGGCCCTGAATACACTAAAGGGTGTGTGTGCTCGCAGAACCCCCCTCCTCCCCCCCTTCAAAGGGGGGATGAGATTTTGACCCCCCCCCCCCTCCTCCCCTGAAGGGGGGGGGGTCCGGACCCTCCCCGCACCTCCCCCCCTTGGCGCTGGAAGGGGGGGGGCGAGTCGGCCAAGGTCCGCAGTTCATCCCGCCACCGTGCCTGGATTGTGGGACTGAAGCCTACTAGTACTGGATGTTCGTTAGGATCCCGCGGGGGGATTCTCGGGGGCCTCTTGGAGGCAGTTCTGAGGCCTCTTGGGTATTTTTGTTCGGGCTTTTTTGGGGTGTTTGGGGGGCCTCTTGGGGCGTCTTGGGGGTCTCTTGGGGGTCTCTTGGGGCCTTCTGGAGGCCTTCTGGGGCGGAAGGCTTGAATTTTCTGTTCGTGTTCACTCTCTTGGGTTCCTTTTGGGCTGTCTTGGGGCCCTCCTTGGCCATTTTGGGGGCCTCTTGTGCCGTCTTGGGGCGCTCTTGGGCTGTCTTTGGGCCCTCTTGGAGGCCTTTTGGGCCGTCATGGGATGGTCTTGGGGGCCTTTTGGGACGTCTTGGAGCGTTGATAAGCCGCAAAAGCGAGAACGCCCACTTTCAAACACCTAAGAAACACCGCTGAATTGTGCCACTTGGGGCCCTCTTGGGTGGCCTCTTGGAGGTCTCTTGGGGCGTCTTGAAGGCCTCTTGGAACAGCTTGAGCCCATCTTGGGCGTCTTGGAGCGATCATTGGGCGTCTCAGGGCTCTCTCTTGGACCGTCTTGGGACCCTCTTGGGCACGAACAAGTCACGCGAGAAGACGCGGGGAACCCCAGGGGCCATGCGACGAGATCCAGCGGATTTGGCAATTTCGGCTCCGGGCTCCTTGAAGACTCCTCATCAGTGAGGACGGAGGCTCAGGGGATGACGGGAAAGCGCCTCCGTCGTGCACCGTTGGTTCTGGGGCTGAATTTTCTCTAAAGGGTACGGTCTCCATCCCAGAACTCGCTGGCGGCGGATGACGGGAAGCGCGCTTAGACTCGAAGAGTCGCGCGATGGACGTTGTTTGCGGGCCTGGAGGGGGAATCTTTATCAAGTGGGGGAGTCCAGGGGTGGAGTGGCGGCGGCGCTGCTCCTTGAGACTCACGTGGCAAAGCGCGCTTCGACTCGAGGAGTCGCGCGATGGACGCTGTTCGTCGGACCGAAGGGGAGCTCTTTATCAAGGGGGGGAGTCCGGGGGGGGACGCCGCGGCCGCGCGCGAGCGTTCGTCGGTGTCGCCGCAGCGCTGCGCAGATGTCGCGTTCCCTCGTGGCCCTCTGGGCGCGGCGAGCATGTTTCGTCCAGCGAGGCCCCAAACAGCGGCAGGGGGCCCCGCGCCTGCGGGCGAAGAGTCGTTCTCGCCGGCGTTCTCACCGAATCGCTGCCCAGATGTGGTGTTCCAAGTGGCGGTGCGCCCCTTTTCCGGCGCCTCGCACGTGCTGTTTACCGCAGGGAGCATCGGGAACCTGCCCGCGCGAGAGAGGGGTGCAGAGTGCTCTCTCGGCAGCGCCACGCGGCCCCGTTCCCCCTTCGCCAAGAAGCCGGATGCGGGGCCGCGCGCGAGCCATCGGGCCGCTGCGTGGGAGCACGCGCCAGTCCCAACGTCCACGTGCTCCATCGATGGCTCTTGTGTGGGAGGGAGGGTGGCCCGATGGCACGCTCGACGCGGCTGGCGTGCCTTCTGCTCGCACTCCAACTCTCACCCTGTCCTGCGGTCCTTGCTCCTCCTCTTGCGCCTATTTCCGCTCCTATCCATGCCTTCGCGTGCTCTGATCCCTGCCTCATTCTATACCCGCTCCTGTACGTAGTAATGCCCCCGTGCCCACCTCTCTTACTTGCGCCCACACCCCTAGCACTCCCAGCTCGTAGACTCCATTCTGACTCCGGTGCCGGCATCTGCGCGGCGACAGGAGAAGAAGCCATCGGCTGGCGCCGCGGAGGCGCTCGCTCGCTGCTCCGCGGGTCGGTGTGAAGTGCAGAGGGGGGACGACGACGACATGGGGGGGGAGACGAGGATGGGTACAGTCGGGGCCCTGAATAAGGAACCCTTTTAGTTGGGGAGGGGCTCGATGTTCCTTGATGATTCTGCAGTTTGCCTTTTGTTTTCCTGAGGTTTTCCATGGCAAATCGAAGTTCAACTTATGGGAGAAAGGGGCCCCGTTCCTTATTTAGGGTTCCTTAGGTCAACGCCCCGACTGTACCGGAGCCAGGTGTGGCATCGTGGAATGTCTGTTGCAGTGTCATGGGCGCACACAGTTTCTTATCATGTGTGTCTGGGTCGGGTGGGGTGGAGGGTTGAAGAGGAGTCGTTACGCTCGAGCTGCGACCAGGAGCCCTGGCATGCTGAAGCTCAGCAAACAATCGGGAACCCTACTCCGAGCCCGTGTATATGTGGTGCTCGGAATGCTGTAGATGTTGTACGATTGTCGCCATGTGGTGCCGCAATACGGTGGTCACGCAGCGTATTGATTTGCTCAGTTTTTACTTTGGTGACTTAACCAGAATGGGCGCGCGGGCTTTTACAGAGGGCTCGCTGAAGGTTCGGGGCCGCGTAATGCACAGACAGGATATTTAGTCGTGACACGCCTGCGCACGCTTTTCGCGGCCTGGATATTTGTTTTTTTGTTCGTGATCCTCCACAATACATGAGAGCAGGCTTGAGAAGGAGGAGGAGCAGGCGGAGAGCGAGCAGGAGCCCGACACATCATGCGATGCGCAGCACCCTGGGGCGCGCCGAAGGTCCTCCGCTCCGCTGGACGGCCCCGGGACGGTGCGCCCACGTAGGCTCGCAGGCGCTGAAGCTCCGCAGCTGGCCGTCGGCCCCATCGCCTCCTGGCCGCGCGCGGGCCGTGTGCTCGCGTGCCTGCGCTGCCCTCCTGCAGCCAGAGTCCTGGCGCCTATCGACTGGACTCGTTTGTCGGTAGCGTAGTGGCGGGGGGCGTGCGCCTTCTCGCACGCAGCGTGCGCGCTTGCCCTCGGCGACCGCTCACGAGCTCGACGTACGAGTGGTCGGATTCGAGATCGACTCTGGCCGGCCCGACCCGATTCGATTCCGAGGTTCCGGCGATCCGATGCGGCCCGATGCATGTTGATGTTGTTGTTGTTGCTGTTGTTGTTGTTGTTGTTGTTGTTGTTGTTGTTGTTGTTGTTGTTGTTGTTGTTGTTGTTGTTGTTGTGTTGTTGTTGTTGTTGTTGTTGTTGTTGCGTCGTTGTTGTTGTTGTTGTTGTTGTGTTGTTGTTGTTGTTGCTGTTGTGTTGCTGTTGCTGCTGCTGCTGCTGCTGCTGCTGCTGTTGTTGTTGTTGTTGTTGTTGTTGTTGTTGTTGTTGTTGTTGTTGTGCATCCTGGCGCAGCCGATCCCACTCGATTCTGGCTCCGTGCCGATCCAGCCCGATCCGACGCTCATTCCGATCTGATCCGATTTCCAGATTCGCATCTGACGGACCTTGCCCCTGCGGGTCCAGTCGACGCTGGAGTATTGGACACCCCTTCGGGGCTAGTTTCTGCGGACGACCTATATGCATCGTACCGCGTTGGCGTCTCACGAGGCGTTGCTGGCCTTCGACTCAGGAATGTTGCGGTAGTTGCTCTGCCCTAGGAGCCGAACAACTATGCCCCTTGCCTCGCTGGGGCGAGGCCTGAAGGGAGTTCCAACATGGTGCGGCGCATTAGCGCCGTTCTCGTAGAGTTGACTCTCGACATTTCAGCCTCTGAATCCCCGCCGATGTCTCAGAAGTCTGACCTGCGGGGGCAGGGCTCGCACGTGGTTGCCCGTGCGTCGAGTCTCCCCTGGACTCTGTCTTCCGTCGCGAGACGTGATGCACAGTTTGCGCTCGGACAGAGCATCCCGTCAGCGCTGGCCATCTCGCCCCTGGAGAGCGGAGAAGGGGGAGAAGGAGGAGGAGGGGGAGGAGCAGGAGGAGGAGGAGGAGGAGGAGGAGGAGGAGGAGGAAGAGGATGGCTGACGCAGGCAGTGACGCCCAGCGACTATGGATCCTCGACGCTGCCGCTAAGACGCGGGCGGGGTCCACCCAAGACATGGATGACAACGGCCTGCGCTCTTCTTCCTGGGACGCCCAGCGCGCGGGGATCGGCTCACTCCCGCGCGCCGCAGGCGCCATGGGGGCCGAGCTTCGATACGGACCAGGGAACACAGAGTGCATGGAGATGGGGCTTGCTGCCCAGCAGGCCCACGGGGCCGCGGCCTTCGTCGACTCCACGTGCACTGGGGGCCCCGCTGGACAACGGGACCCGCCTGGCTGAACCGATGAAGAAGCAGGTCGAGCATCGGGCGGAGCACGGGTGGAACAGCCTGCGTACGGCCCTGGAATTGCTGGGCCTGCCGACGTGCGTCGCCCTGCGCGCGCTGCCGCTGCGCGTGCAGACGCGCGCCGCTGCTCCTGGTGCGGCCGGACTGGGCGGCCCGGCTCAACGCAGTGCAGGATCGCTGGGCCACCCGGCTCTTTGACCTCGAGCAGCCCGCCCCCCGCATCCAGCTCCTCCGCGAGCTCGGCTTTCCGCTCCGGCTGGCGACGTCGACCCTCCTGGCGGCCATCGGGCCCGCGGCGCGGATTGAGGCTTCCCTGGCGGACTCCCAGCCGGCGCGGGTCGCGGCGGTGGCGGCGTCGGTCCCGTCCTCCTGGCTCGACACTGTTAACAGGCACCTCAGCGACCTCGCGCTCCCCACGACGTTCGAGCACGGCCTCCTAGCGGGGGAGCTCACCGTCGCGCGCTACCTGGACGTGGTCGTCCGGCCGACGCTGCTCGACAGGGAGACGGCATGGCGAGAGCGGGAGGCGTTCTGCTACCCACACCGCGGCCCCCAGGTGGCAGCAGCGATCGCGGCGGCAACCACGGCCCCGCCATCCGCCATCCGGGCGTGGGCGCAGTTCCGGACCCAGGGGAGGCCCACCTCCAGGAGGGGCGCGGGGACCGCCCGATGCGCCCGCTGCGGGATGGGCATGCTCCGCGACGGGGTCCAGGCGGAAAGCTGCCCGCAGGCGGAGGCGGAGGCTGCCGCGCGCGAGGCTGCCGCTGGCACCCCCTGGGCGGGGCGCGCCCCCCAGGCGTTGCCAGCTGCCCTCAGGGCTGGCGACGACGCAGAGGCAGGCCTGGCGGTTGCCGCGGCGCTAGCGCGCGATGCGCCCGCGGCCCCGCGCCTTCGCGCAGCGGCGGCGGCGGCGTAGGCGGGGAAGAGCTAAGATGCCCGCGGTCGGCCAGTGGGTGCTCCAGCAGACTCCGCCTACAAGGGACTGCCGGGCCCTGCCGAGTCGGCCGGCAGAGTCGCGAGATGGTGGCATGTGATTTTTTGGGGGCAAGCCGCTGAGCCAGCCTGCCGGCCAGCGCCCGCGGGGGAGACACCGCGGCAACGTTCGAAGAGAAAAAAGAGAAGGAGGAGGAGGAGGAGGAGGAGGAGGAGGAGGAGGAGGAGGAGGAGGAGGAGGAGGAGGAGGAGGAGGAGGAGGAGGAGGCGGCGGCTGAGACGGCCACGCGCCACAGAGCCTGGCAGGCCCCCCAGGCAGGGCGCTGAGGGCTCTGGCTCTGCTCACGCGAGCGGGCACATCGCCGGGCCGCTGGGCTTGGCCGTGCCGGACTGGGCGGGCCCTCGTCGCGGGGTTGGCGGGGGTGCCGGTTGGCGCGGCGCTGCTTGGTCCAGAGACGTTCCGAGGGCGAGAGGGCCAAGCAGGAGAGGTCGGGGAGCTGCGAGCGTGACGTGCCCGAGGCCGCCTCTGCTCCCTTCCCCGTCTCCCTTGGCCTTCTCGAGGCTCATGCGGTTCACGCCTTGGACGTGCGGCCGTCCACGCCTGCGACGGCTGGGTCAGTTGCGCCCTCCTGATCTGCACGGCCTGCGCTGAGGCCTAGACCAAGTCAGCGAAAAGGAGAGGAAACCAGGCGCCGAGAGTAGATGGAGATATGACGAGGTTCGCCACAAACTTTGCAACGCTGCACACCACAATAAGATAGTGCAGTACCGGTGCTGATAGCACTCACATTCAAGCCGTGCGCAAGCGAAGACACTGAGTGGTACATGGAAAGCAGGATATCTACAAGAGCAGCTGACTCATGCAAAAACCCTTCGGACGGGATATCAAGAATCGCTGCTGTTGCTGCCTGCTGCTGCTGCTGCTGTTGCTGCTGCTGTTGCTGCTGCCGCTGCCGCCGCGGGCGGCTGCACTGGGGGTGGGGGGGGGGGGCTGCGGCGGCCATGCAGAGGCGGCCAGGGGGGATGACGGCGACTCTGACTGGCGCGCTGGGAGGCTGGCGGGCCTGGTGGCGCATGCTGGCGGGCCCCAGACCTCCTCGCGTGGTGACAAAGTTCCCGACGAAGGGGTTTTCGCCATTTTCGGCTTCGGAACCCGTACCAGGCCCTGGGACCGTCAAAAAACGACTCAGGATGAAGCGCCAGTCCCTGGGAAGGGGTCGAGGCCGACGTGGCGACAAAAACACGACGTCGGGGGTCTTGGTGGCTGGCTGGCGAGCAGGCCGCCGGGGAGGTGGCGGCGCTCGGCTACTGGGTCTGGCAGGTCCCCGCCGAGCTCTTGGGTATGCATACTATAGGCCTGCCCTGGCTGGCGCAACCCCTCCTCCCCGAGTGCGGCCGCTGGTTGGTTGCCGGGCGCTCTTGCCTGGCACTTGCAGCCAGCAGCGGCGCTTCGGGGTCCGGCGACTGGCACTAAGGGCTTTCGCTGGCACGTGGTCAGTCCCGCCGCCAGAAGAAGAGGAGGAGGAGGAGGAGGAGGAGGAGGAGGAGGAGGAGGAGGAGGAGGAGGAGGAGGAATAGGAGGAGGCGGAAGAGGAGGAGGAGACGGAGGAGAAGGAGGAGGAGGAGGAAGAGGAGGAGGAGGAGGAGAACGTGGAGGAGAACGTGGAGGAGGAGGAGGATGAGGAAGAGGAGGAGGAGGGAGCCGGAGGGGGAGGAGTTTTGGTGGTTTTTGATTCCTG